CAAAGTTGTTCCCAAAAGTCTGCGGTGTTAAGGAGTCGTCAAAGCGCCAGCTTGGATTTGAAAATGCGCTTCAATTTCTTCATTTTTCTCTAATTGAGCTGGCAAACAAATTGCTAGGTTATTCATCAAAGCTTTTTTCGTCGGCATTTTTGCAGCCTTACTTTAACAGCTTCTGGAATTGATCATTTAGTGAGAGGTACAGTCTTCACACAAGGGATCGAGAGGCGAAACTTTTTCTGAAAGCATTGAATTATATTGTGCGATCTGTACAATTTGCGGAATAGTTTGTCACCAAGTGATCCGACATTCTAAGCGTCCTCAGTGTGTATCGAAGATGCGTCGTAATAACACTCAAAAGCCTTCATTTATGCTAAGAGCAGCTTAGCGAGCATAATCATCCTAGTGCACCAAAATGCTCGTCTGCTTATCCGTTTGTCAGACTTCTGAAATTAAGAGCTACAATATCTTCGTTACATTTGCGTTCTCATTTAAGTCTATTCTATCTGTCACTTATGCTCTTCTCGTTCGTATTCAGTATAGTCTAGTGTTCATCAAAACACAGAGAATCCCGAAAAGGTGGCTGGCAAAGAGAGGATGCCACATGAACCAGATGTCAGACTCTTTCTTGTTTGTCCATTTACCACATTCTCAAGTCTACCATGACGGCAAATCAGGCTACTCAGCGGCCCCATTAGCCCCGCGCTTGCCCAAACCGGTAGGAAGACATTCTCGCATGTTTTCAAAGACATGGCATTTACCGATGGCCTAATAGACGCCAAGAGATCGAATACGAAAGATGGTTTCAATCAACACGATCGGCACCATCGTTGGATGGATAAGAGCCCGGGCGAGAAGGGCATCACGAGAGTTTTGAGGAATATTTTGGCGAAAAAAAGAAATACCAACATTTGGGACCCTGAAGACATATTGGAAAACCACCAAATCGCAAATAAACAATCGCTTTTGCCAGCAGGACGCATTTCACCGTCGATTCAGTTAAGTTCCAAACAGAAAGTCTACATGATTCTGCATAGTCCACGGATGGCTTCACAGCATGAATACCGCCAGCTAAACTCTAAAATGTACCAGAAAGCAGAGAACCGACGATTAGCGACATCAAAGCCAAGGCCATGCACGCTTAAAGAACAGTCTGGGGCAAGTTTCTATGCCCCGAGGGCTAGCGAAGCCTGATTTGCCGCCTCGACTCGTTTCGCTTCATGAGTCTCGTGCGAGGCATCAGCCTTGGCGCAATTATGCTTATGTGCCGATCGATAATCTCAGTGAGCGATGCAAGCTGGGCGAATGTATGCCAGTTCAAGATTGAAGTGTAGAATCTGATGAAGACAAAATAGTAGAATATCGAGTGCTCAGACAATTCAACATCCACCACACGATGACCTACAACTGAAACTGCACCTAAGACTGAGTTATAGTTGGCGCATCACGC